TAATAATAATAATAATAATAATAATAATAATAATAATAATAATAATACAAAAGCTATCACCAAGCATGGTATGTTGAGATCTGTACTGGTAACTAGGCTCACAACTGATGCTAACTGATGTCTCCAGACCCAATACCTTTCTTTGCCTGTATCTACCATAAATAAATTCAGGAATATACGCTAGAATTTATTTATTTTTGCATTTTCTTGCCAGAAGTATTTAGATTCTCCCTTTTAATGTTAATTGATGCTTTTTTTTAAATAAGAGAATTGTTTTGAAAAGTCATCTTCAATTTTTAAGTGATAATCCTCTCTTCTGAAAAAAAAGTTCTCTGTGATTCTTCAGTGCTTATCCTGCAGTCTCTTGTGGAAATCTTAGTGACTAATCTAAATCTTGTATTTTGGGGTGAATGAGATGAATGATTTACTGGGTTATCTGGTGTTGAGATTCTAGGTTATCCCCTGTTGGTGTGTTAATACTATAAATTGGTCTTCTGTAGTAGTTTTGATAATTGCATTGTAGTAGTGTTGGTAATTGCACTTTCAGTGGCCCTTAAATAACATAAATTAGTATGATCTATACAGCACGGTGATGGGAAATAATCATATTTACAAACATATATTCCTTTTGGTTATATTATGGATCACAACACTAGATTTTGGGGTCAGAAAATGTTCAGCTCTCCTCTGTCAATCAATCCCACAATCACACTGGCAAAGCAGGAAAAATAGGAGTGGTGATCATACAGATATTGGTATCTGATTTAATATAATAGATCGAAGCAATGATAGATGGCAATTTTCTCTAATTGAAAGCCACTGGAATGGAATGCTGACAGGAAGTTGCTGTCAGAAGGAAACTATATTTCTGTTTTTCCTCTTCTGTTAAGGATCCTTAGAAACACTGTTCTGCCTGCACAGCAGAATCCAAAGATTCTCTAGCCTCAAATTTATTAATAGCAGAGCTAAGTATCCATATATGTCAATTCTGTCAATGATAGATCTGTTGATACCATTGTTGAACTGGTAATCTGAGTCAGTGAAGAAAATGTAGTGGGTTCTTTTGTTTTTTCCAACCCTGAAGGCAATCATTTTAAAAGGTTATTTCATCTAGCTTGACTTTGATGGTGCCAAGAAAAACATTTCTTGAATGTTATTTCCATAGGTGAAATATAGTTTTCTGAACCATTATTGAAGCCAAGTGGAAATAAATAAAGTCTGTGCTCTAAGTGGTCAGTATCGAAGCGCTCAGTGGTTATGCAAAATTTCTCAATACAGTTCAGTACAAGTATAGATGGCCATTTCTTCATTCCTGTTTTGTAAATTTCTGGCATAATGTGTTCCTTTTCTATGAACAGGAACAGAAGAGACAAAAAGCTACTTTTTTTTGGGTTACATTTCAAAATTATACCTCAGAGACCAGAAGCCAACATGTAGAAGAAAAGATAATGTCACCACCTGTTAGAACTCCAGGAGGGTTAAGAAAGCCTTTGTACACTTAGGCTTAGAAACCTCTAAATTCAGGAAATGAA